GAGAAAGGTAGTCATGACAAGTCTCCTTCTGGCAGCGAGGTGAAAACATTGCTTATTTCTAAAATAAAAACCTAGCTTTAATCTGAGTTTTTTGACAAATCTATCCAAATGAGTGGAAAAGGTTAGTCTGGAATCAAGCCAAACCCCAAGGTATTTATAGGAATCCACTAGTTCTATGCATTTTCCCTCAGAAGTGGAGATGTTAGGAGCAGGAGGCCTAGAGTGTGATCTAGAGAAATGCATAACTTTTGTTTACTCACATTTAAGACCAGCTTAAGGTTTTTAAAGTCGGCCTGAATCAAAGTAAACAATTTTTGTAAGTGGTGGAAAGCGCACGACAGAGAGGAAGCACAAGAATAAACAATTGTATCATCAGCGTACAGATGAAAGTTAGAAGAATCAGAATCTGTTATATCTCTGCCAATGTTGTTGATATAGATCATGAACAAGATGGGTCCCAGAATGGAACCTTGGGGCACACCCCGAGCAATTGACTTAGGAGATGACCTCTGCCCATCGACAAGGACTGGCTGGGACCTGTCCGAAAGATAACTAGCGAACCAATTAACCAAATTGAGACTCAAACCAATATCATGAAGCCTATTAATTAAGATGGTGTGGTCCACAGAGTCAAATGCCTTGGATAAATCAATAAACACTGCTGCACAGTGTTTATTATTATCAAGGTTTTGAGTTAAGTCATTCAGCACTTTGGAGACAGCAGTTATTATGCTGTGACCAGATCTAAAGCCAGACTGAACAGAGTTAAGCTGACTACTTTTTAATAAAAACTCCTTTAACTGATCATTCACCAGGGATTCCATAATTTTAGCAACCACTGAGAGTTTTGAAATTGGCCGATAGTTGTCAACGTTAGTGGGATCCCCTCCTTTAAAAATGGGCAAAACATATGTCTCCTTCCAAGATTTAGGGATAGAATTAGTGGAGAGGGATACATTAAAAATATATGCCAGTGGTTCAGCTATAAGTTCAGCTGAGAGTCTCAGGAGATAGGGTTTCAGACCATCAGGGCCTGGAGGCTTCTTAGGGTCAATAGCTTTTAAAGCCTTAAGGACACAGGCAGCAGAAGTGTGTTCAAAAGCAAAACTATGGGAACCTGGAGCCTCTTCAACCGTAGAAGAGCTGGGCAGGACATTAGATTTCAAACCAGGAAACAAGCGATCAAACAAGTATCCGGCAGAAACAAAGTGTTCATTAAAAAGATCTACAATAGATTGCTTATCCGTTATTGCCTGGGAACAATGAATAATTAGTTGGGGTAGTGAAACAGAAGCAGAAGGATTTAGAGACTTAATCGTTTTCCAGAATTTAGAGGGGTTGTTCAAGTTTTCAGATGTCAATTTGAGATAATATTCAGATATGAGTTTCCTGATGGAGGCAGTACATTTGTTCCGGAGACACCGGAATCTGGACCAATGAAAAGCAGAATTTAATTCTCTGGCTTTGGCCTAAGCTTGGTTTCGAGCATGAATTAAATTTAAGCAAACCTTTAGCCAAACAAGACAAAGATAAGCAGGTAACCACTGTGACAGACACAAATAACAGAGGGTTACCCAGCTAACCAGTCCCCTAACCTACCCTGACCTCAACCACTAGTCCCAGCAGACCATCCTTCATCCATCTCTCTGGTTAATACAATTTAACTCATCCTTAACTAGAGCATTTCCCTCACAAGTTGGCGCCTCTTGCTGTCCTTTTAATTTAATTTTGGCTTCAAATCCAAAGGAAGGTAGTAGGGATTATGAAGCAGAGCAGAAAGAAAGAAAATCAACACCAGGTCATTAGAAGTTTCTTAGAAGCCCATTTGCCTTGTGCTTTGCTTCTTTTCTTCTTCTCTGCCTTCATGTGGATCATCACACAAGCTGCTGCACCCACAGCTTTCATTACTTCCCATAGAAGCTCAAAACACAAACAGAACAGCTTGTTGCTATCATTCAGTAGACGAGAGATAATCAGATCTGAATTTCTCTCTATGAGCACTACTTGTGCTTTTAATATGTCACATGTTTACCAGTGAGATCTGCAGACCTTCACTGAGGCTTTACTTTTTTACAAGGGTTGCACCAGGGAGCAGTTTTTTTCTGCTCCTGTCCTGAGTCTTTTCAGTATTTTTCTAATCGTACCATGTGCCTTCACGGAAAGAGAGGCAGGGACGCTTATAATGTAGTTAGAGATGCATAATGCTGACTTATTCTCCTGTGATACTGATTCTGATACCTTAACTTTGCTGAATATCTACCCAGTGCTCTTTTTCCTCAAGTAATTTAAAATCTGTGCACTTTACTGAATGAAACTGATTTGATTTTATGTGTAAGATATCATGAAAATACTGAAGAGATTAATATCTGATAGTAAATATTAAAAAATAAGTCAAATCTGTAACTGGCAGTTTTTCTTTTGGTGCTGCTTTTTCACTTGACAGCCTCCTCTGACCAAATAAAATTAAAATTTTAAAACAACAGTCACAAAGATGTTTATGAAGTATTTGCAATGGAGCTATGACAGCAATGGGCCAACTACTGGTTTTAAAACAAATAGTTCTTTTCATTTATTTGGCCGCTTTGCATGGGTAATGTTAACTCACAATAATATCAATAATAATAACAGATTACCATGGTAAGCTTTGAGTTTTAAAATCTATCGTAAGAACTGCCTGTCTTCCTGAAGAGTTTCTTTGATCAGTACAGATTGTCAGCTCAGGGAATATGTCATATCTGCAAACTTTTTTTTTTTTTTTTTTTTTTAGCCTTTTTACTAGTAATTCAGTTAAACAAAACTGTGCAGTTGTAGTAGCACAAGCTATATGCTTTGCATTGCCATAGAAAACTATATGATTTTAGTTGGTGGTGCAGAAAAAGTATAGATTAGTTGTTGTGTCTGTTCCTCTGGTATTTATCACAGAAATTCTTCAGTCAATAGCAATAATGTACTATGATTTGACCAAATACTGAAGAGATTTCCACTTGCCTTTCATTGGGGGACAGTGTCAGACCTAAATGCACTTCTTCAATAACATGTGTAAATGAACAAAATTAAAAGTTAAAGAGCGATAATGTGCACTTGTCATGTTTGAAATAAGCAGCTGCACTGAAAGTGCACTGAGAGAGGAAATAAATATATTTGCCTATGTGATTAACAGTTTTCTAGCAGCATTCCTCTCTCACATATTTTGCAATAATTGTATTATTTTTATATATCTTTATTTTTCATACCTTTCCAATTATAACTCCTCGTTCCTCTTGACTGAAATAGGTTGCACATCATTGGTCAGTTTTTTGCAAAAGAAGAGTTCATGATGCCGTCTTCACTTAAATGCGCACAGAGGCAACAGTTTTAGGTTTTGTTGAACAAAGAAAGTCTGGCTTTCTTGAACTTGGCTTGCTTACCCCTCGGATCCAGTTCATAAGGTTGATCCTGCCATAAATCAAGAAACACACTGTAATTTAGTGTCACGATTGACCATGTTTTGCATTGTAATCCAGACAAGAAGGTCCCAACTAAAAACAATCTTTTATGTACTATGCTGTTGTCATTAGTTTCATCAAGGAGTAAAGAACAAAGCCTGATTCTGTCATTCAAGTCTACTGATGAGTATTAATGCTAAAACTGACCCTTAGTCTTCTGTCTGTTGTTTTGCTTTTCGGATGTTGAATGAATGAATTGCATCTCTTGAGATTAAATAGGTTTAATGTGCAGAAATTCTCCTGAATAGTTTGATCTAAGTGTCAGATAAACCTGAATGAAATCTGAGGGAAGCTGTTGGATCTTACAGTATTTTTTTTTGTCACACAGTACACACTCATTTTTTTTCAGACTTGCAGCTTATGAGCCCTTTCCCTTCAAACAGAATTTGACGTTATATGACTGAATTAATGAGGTGATGATGTCAAATTTTATAGCTGGCATGTTTATGCTTCAAGTCCATTGGTGTGATGGGGTAAATAAATTAAATCTACTGTTCTTTTTGTGTTTGTAAACAGCTAGAATCTAACACAGTGTATACTTTTGTCTTTTGTCAATTGGATTTATTGAAAAAAACATGATAAGATGTTTGGTAACTGGTTGTAATATCTTGTAATTCCACATGATCTGCTTGTGTTGGAATTGTTGGACAATGTCAGAATAATTGAATTCTCTTTGCCACCAGTACATCAAAGAGTTCTACAATGAGACGTTGATAGAGACATATGACTTTGCTCCACATGAGGAACTTCTCACTGTCTTGTACTCGCTCACTGTGTCAATCTTTGCCATTGGTGGGATGACCGGAGCTCTGCTAGTGGGCAGACTAGTGACCAAATTTGGAAGGTTAGTGTGTATGTCGATGAATTACATGTTTGTGTTGATAAAATGCTGTTAACTTGTGCTTCTGATATTTACAAATATCCCATCGTTGAGAAAATTGTGTTTTAAGAGTCACTGGTTCCAAACAGGAAAGGGACGCTGGTCAAATCCACTGGTCTGGTGTTTATCGGAGGAGCTCTGATGGGCTTCAGCAGATGGTGCAGAAATCCTGTGATGATCATCATCGGACGCTTCATCACAGGAATCCATTCAGGTAGAAAGATTCCTGGATGACCAGAATGAATTCCAGTGTGAATTATGTACCCTTATTTATTTATTTTGTATTTTCTCATTTATTTCTATTTTATTACTTCCCTTATTGTTATTATTACCCTTGCCTGTCATAGTCAAATTTCTTTATAAAGTTGAAGTGCTATACAATTTAAATAGCAGGTCATAAAACACACCAAAAAACACAATAACTAAAAGACAAATGTGAGTAAAAGAAGGCAGTGAATATATTGGAATAAAAACATGTTTTTATACGGAGTGGTAATAATGACCTGAACAAGTATTTGTGGACGTGTGCTGCTGAGTTTTTTATCCAGGTCACCCTTGTGAAAGAGGTTTCAATTTCATATGGGTCTTTTATCTGGTTAAACAAAGGTAAAATAAATAACTGTAGATCACTGAAACCTGGCACAACCATCTGGAATACTTCTCCCTCNTATATTGTCTATTATGGCTTTCTGTCTATTGAATCAAATGCTAACAAGAAGACATGGGTATTTAGCAGCAACATCTGGGCAGTTTTTGCATGAAAAATTAAACTGTTCAGCCTCTACAAAAGCTCATGACGTCTGCTCGGCACACACATACAAAGAATTACAATAATCTAACGGAGCGGTAATAATGACCTGAACAAGTATTTGTGGACGTGTGCTGCTGAGTTTTTTGTCCAGGTCACCCTTGTGAAAGAGGTTTCGATTTCATATGGGTCTTTTATCTGGTTAAACAAAGGTAAAATAAATAACTGTAGATCACTGAAACCTGGCACAACCATCTGGAATACTTCTCCCTCAATCAAGCTACCCCCTCAGGATACAAATATCTGGACCGACCCCGCTTCAACGGCTGACGTGGTGGTGTTTCCTCTATTTTCAAGGCCTTCATTGAACCCAAGATCATCTCCACTCCCTCTGCTGAATCATTTGAACATATTGCTTTCAAAGTCCTGTCACCTACCCCCATTGTTATTGTTGTTATTTACCGAGCCCCCCAAGCCAAATCCATCATTCCTTTCTGATTTCTCTGATTTTGTCACTCATTTATCTGCCATCTCGTCCTCAGTTTTACTTCTTGGTGACTTCAATTTCCATATCGACAACAAAAACTGTAAACATTCCTCTGACTTCTTGGACCTCCTCAATTGCCTCAACCTAACCCAGCATGTCAATTTCCCCACCCACTCCCATGGCCATACTCTAGTCTGCTCTACTGGTCTCACCATCCAGAAACTCTCCAGCCACATCTCCGACAACCTGGCCACGGTTTTTCATATCCACTTTCTCACCCCCATCTTAAAAGAAAAGCGCACGATAATCTTCAGAAACGTTAAATCCATCTCACCCCAAGACTTCTCTGCCTTACTCAGCTCTGCCATAGCTTCGTCCCCCCCTTCATCATTGGATGACCCTGACTACCTCACTAACTATTATAATAACTCTCTCTCTACTTGCCTAAACAAACTAGCTCCTTTAAAAAACAAAACCGTTTCTTTTACACACTCAGCCCCCTGGTTCACTCCTGACCTCCATAATCTAAAATCACAAAAACGCCAGCTTGAAAGACTTCACAAGAAAACCGGACTCACAGTTCATCTCCAAGCTTACACGGACCACCTCCAACTGTACAAAGCTGTCCTTATTCACGCCCGCTCCAACTATTACTCAAACCTTATTCACACCACTCTTTTCCACTGTCAATAAACTCCTCAATCCCAGTGACAACACCTCAAACTCATTTACTGCTGACAAATGCAATTCTTTCCTCTCATTCTTGCAATCAAAAATTGACTCCATTTATAACTCCCTATCTGCTTCCCCTACCTCCCATGTCTCCCCCCCACTCGACTCCGATTATCACTTCTCCTCTCTCTAATTTGTCACCCATCTCCCCAGCTGATCTGACCAAAATCATTACCACCATGAACTCCTCCACCTGCACTCTCGACCCCATCCCATCCATTCTTGTTAAACACTGTGTTCCCACCATCTCTCCGCTTATCATTAAAATTGTAAACTTGTCCCTTACCTCCTCCACTGTCCCTCATTCTCTTAAACTGGCTGCCATGACCCCAAATCCTCAAAAAACCTGGACTCAGTCCTGACAATATCAGTAACTTTCGGCCCATTTCCAACCTTCCTTTTCTCTCTAAGATTCTGGAAAGAACTGTTGCCTCCCAAATCAAAACCCATCTCACTGACAATGACCGCTATGAACAATTTCAATCTGGATTCCGGCCTCACCACAGCACAACAGCCCTCCTTAAAATCTCCAATGACCTCCTCCTCTCCGCTGATGCTGGCTTTCTCTCCATTCTCATCCTCCTGGACCTCACTGCCGCCTTTGACACTATCAGTCACTCCATCCTACTCTCCCGATTACAATCCCTTCTCCACATCACTGGTAATGCCCTTACCTGGCTAACGTTATATCTTGCAGACCAGAAACAATTCATCAATATTAATAACTGCTCTTCCTCTCCTGCCCCCCTGTCCCAAGGTGTACCCCAGGGTTCGGTGCTTGGTCCTCTCCTTTTCATTCTCTACCTCCTACCCCTTGGCCAGATCATTCGTCATCATGGTCTCCATTTCCATTGTTACACTGATGACATCAAACTTAACTCCAGTAAATCTGACATTCTCATCATTGGTCCCAATTCCCTCACCTCTACAGTTCAAGATTTTCATCTTTCATTCGATAACTCCTCCCTGTCACCCTCGCCCCATTGCCGTAACCTAGGAGTCATTTTCAACACCAAACTCACCTTCACCAAACACATAAATTCTGTTTCTACCTTCATCCACGCCTTCATTACATCATGCATTGATTACTGCAATAGCATCCTCTTCGGTACCACCACCAACCTCCTCAATAGACTCCAATACATCCAAAACTCTGCTGCCTGCCTCCTCACCCACACCTGCTCCTGAGACTACATCAACCCTTCTTCAAATCCTTCACTGGCTTCCCATCCCATACCGCATCAATTTCAAAATCCTTCTACTCACCGATAAAGCGCTCCATAATCAGGCCCCCTCTTACCTCAAAGACATGCTCCACCCCTACACACCTTCACGTACCCTCCGCTCCAAAAATTCCAACCTCTTGATCGTTCCCAGGACCAAGCACCGGACCTGGGGGGGATAGGGCCTTTTCTGTCGCCGTCCCCACCCTCTGGAACTCTCTCCCACAACATATTCGAGACACCTCAGACCCAGTAATATTCAAATCTAAATTAAAAACTCATCTGTTCCGCTCCACTTTTCCCACCTAGGCCTAGGCTTTATCTTGATATTTAGTGTTGTTTTTATCTGCTTGCTGTATTTCTAGATTGTCTACCTTTGTATTTGTTGCTTATTGCTTATTGTCCTGTGAAGCGTCTTTGAGTTCATGAAAAGAGCTATACAAATAAAATGAATTATTATTAAATAAAAAACTTTGTCTTTGGGATAGCGAGATGGGCCTTTACCTTGGTGAAAGTCTTCACTGAAAACAGCACTTTTTTCATTTCTTTCTCTCTCTCTCTCTCTCTCTCTCTCTCTCTCTCTCTCTCTTTTTTTTTTAACACTGAGCTAATCTGTAGTCAAATCAGAAGGAGCTTTTGGGGTTTTTTGTTTTTAATTTATTTTTGTATTTTATTTTAAATTTTCTTTCATTCATTCATTCATTCATTCATTCATTCATTCATTCATACATACATACATTCATTTATTTGCAAAAGATTGCTTTTTATAAAACCCAAAGTACCATTAGAGCCATTCAAAGGGCCTGATTGACCAAAGATACCAATCTCTGTCTTGTTTTTATTAAGACTGACGAAGTTTAAATCTATTAGTGGAGGCACTTTAAATTAAAAATATTATATTTAGCTGCATGTTTGGTTTTTATAACCTTTAATTAGGTCTTTGACTTGAACCTGTTGATTTGCAGTTTACATTGGTGCCTTTCATGTCTGTCATGTCATGCCCAGTGTAATTACACTTTTCTTTCTTCAACAGGGATTTCTCTCAGCGTGGTACCATTGTACCTTGGTGAGATTGCCCCGAAGAACCTGCGAGGCTTCCTGGGCCTCGTTCCCAGCATCCACATTTGTCTTGGAGTATTCATCGCTCAGGTCCTGGGCCTCTCTGAGCTGCTGGGAAAGGTACTGACATCACAGGCTTTAACTACTGTGCTGGTCAACTATCCTGAATCTTTGAAGAAATCCAGGTTTATATTCTGGATTGTTAACTTGTGCCTGATCTTGCTGCAAGTTGAGGGTTTGTGAACCAGAATGATCAGCAGCACAAGCAGCACTTTAAGCCACCAAACTAAGTCATGAATGGGCGAACAGCATTTTGTTTTGTATGTATGGTTGTACACAAGAAATGACAATAATCTTAAATCTTGAAGTCACAGACCTCAAAAAACTATAAAATTCTCCTCTCATATCTGAATTTGACAGCATTTGAGCACACAAGCACTTTGATGTCGCATCACAAATCACTAATAACCCTGAATAAGTTACTTCATGCTGCATGTGAACAGGCTGCTCTAGAATTAGATGCTTTTTTCGCCTGTATCTGGTAACATTTGATCTTTCTATCTGCCCACTTACAGTATGTCCAATGTGCAGAACAGCTTCACAGAAAGATGAAGTTAAAGAAAATATTCTGCCACATTTTATGACTTTCTGCTCTTCATCTCATATACTTAGACTACATGATATTGGAATAGGGTGAGATGCTGACTGTTACTTTTATTTAACTCTCTAATAAATAATGAGTATTTTAATTTAAATGTAATTTGTTAGTTCGTTCGTTTTTAAAATGTAATTCTAAATTTGAAGATTTCTGTGAACTTTTAACATATATATATATATTTGTCATTCAAAATATGCGTCTTTTCTTTTCTTTTTTTCTTTTTTTTTTTGTCGAAAGCGACTACCGACAAATCTAGGGACTCTTTCTGGTGTTACTGGTGACATTCCTGGTGTTTTGGAGACGGACGTGAAAATTCGTATCGTTCTGTAGTTACTGTCCTCCGCGAGCAGCGGTGCTGCCTTGAGCTTCTCAGGAGTCTGGTCAGCAGACCAGCTGCAGTCAGAGGGCCAGCCAGACGTCAATTTTACTTTGCTGCAGGTGGATAATTTAAGATCGACAGGAGGACTCAAATAGACATTGAGTATTTTATTTCAAAATAACCTTCAATCCAGCGTCTTTTTTTTTTTTTTGAGTTCAAGATGTTTTTGTTGCATACAGAAATTTTTTTTTTTCTCTGTGGCAGTTCATTGATTTCATAAATGCAACACACTATAGTTTTTTGTATACATAGCATAAAGGTAAAAACGATATATACAGTGTTATCTTCATTTTAGATGTCAAAAGGGTTTTGTGGCTCCTGATGTGTTCTTTTCCATGGGAAACTCGTCCAAATGGCTCTTTGAGTGTTTAAGGTTGCCGACCCCTGATTTAGACACTAAAAACTCATCTCTGTGTTTCAAAGTTACATATTTAGAAGTTAAAATAATTCCCTTCCAATGGCTGAGATGTAACGCTACGTCATTGCTTTCCCATCCCTATCTCCACTCACTCCGCCTACTCGGCTCGAGCACACCAGCTCACCTAGGACTCAAAAACTACCCTGAGCTACTCAATAGCAAGTAGTGATATTGGAGTAAATCGGTCATACATATTTGAACTGGAAACCAAATTTGAAGAAGAATATTTACACAGAAAGCTCCACCCTGCAAGTTGAGGATTGGTTCCAAGTTTGTTACATGTGAAACCTTGGAAGTGTAAATCTGTGTTTTTGAGATGGTCTTTAATACACTGTAGTTTCTAGGTTGAAGTGAAATGTCTTCCAGCATATAAAAAACAGTGTATGGACATGCTAACAAGGTAAAACAAAATAAGGTGACATGTTTTACCCCACACAGGAAGAGCACTGGCCCCTGCTCCTGTCCCTTGTGGTGTTTCCTACCATAATCCAGCTGATGCTGTTGCCATGGTTTCCAGAGAGTCCACGGTACCTGCTGATAGAGAAGGGAAACGTGCACGCCACCATCACAGGTTAGAAAGTATGCTCTTTATCCGCTTATCTCCTGAAATATGCCTTAAACTCGAACTACAGCTGAGAGCTCTTCCCACTGGGCGTTCGGGGATTTTGATAGTTGTTGATGTCCAGACTGGTGTTTCTTTCTGTCCTGTAGCCCTGAAGTGGTTCCGCACTAAAGGAAACATCCAGGCTGAGGTTGAGGAGATGCAGGAGGAGCAGCGTTCTCTGTCCTCCATCCACACCCTCTCTGTCCGCAACCTGCTCATGGACCGCTGCGTCCGCTGGCAGGTCATCACCATTGCGGTGGTCAACATCGGCATGCAACTGTCTGGAATTGATGCGGTGAGCGGGACTAGTATTGAGGGTTTCTTCTGCCTGTTTGAGTGTGTGAGCTCATATTTTGACTGTGCAACAACTGTGCAGTTTTTATATGAGAGTGATGGCTCATAGTAATACAGTTCCCAGCTGTGCTCCTCCCATCTGTCCATACATCCCACAAACACCCACTGAATGATGGAGCAGGGGGCGACGTGACCACGCCTCATTATTTCCCGGTTCCTCTCCCTCAGTGTTACCTCACATATCAAGGCCCACCCATCCAAACGTAAAGTCAAACACATCTTTGTGCTCGTTGCTTCATATGGATGGAAGCTCCAGGCATGCTGGCTCATGTACTTGTACCGTTTCCCAGCAGTGGGACACCCCACTGAGTCTCTCGTCTCCAGCTGTTCCTGACAGGAACACTGGAAGGCTTCTAACATGCAGAAGAACCTGTGTGTCCAAATCTGTTGCACAAAAAAAAAGGGGGTTTCAAGAACAGACCTTTATAGTTTTATGACTTGAACAAAGAGAAATAAGTCAACAATGAGTTTTTTTCTGCTGTTACTGATGTAATTGTCTCGTTGTTCACATCATAAAGCAACAGCCCCACATGGCAACTTTTGTTGCTTTTCTTTGGTTTTTGCTTCCACCTCTACAAGAACTAGTAGGCCAGACAAGAAGACAAAGCATCTGCTGTAATCATAAATAAAAAACCACTAGCTAAACATGATGAAGATAAAGAAAATGCACAACAACAAAAAATAGATAAATACAATGCAAATTCTACCACTGTGCTGCCATAATTTCAAAGTTAAAGACATTTGCCAGGTAATATAGAATATTTTCCAACTAAATGTCACACATGACCTCTGTATCCTGCGGTCTGTATACTGTGGCAGTGGTTCCCTCAACGTAAACACAATCATCACCATTGCAAGTAGAGAACAAGCCAAACAAAAAGGACTCCATGTTTAGTGAGTCCTTTTGTTTGTTGTCAATCAGCTAACATTACAGTTTCATCAAAAAGTAAAAGAAGCCACTCAAACTATGAGAAAAACTAGAGAGGACCATACAATTTCAGAAACTGTGGGTAAATATGTGCTGAAAAATGAGGCGATCTGGGAATATTGCTTATCAACAGAAGGCAGCAATACAGATGCATTGAGACTGATGCTCAGCACCTACAGATTCCAAAATACTGAAATTAGAGGGGTTTTTTTTCTCTACAAAGAGAGATAAACTTAAATGAACTTTAAATTATTCTGGTTGCACTTGGTCCCCTCTTTAGTTTTCATTGTTGCAAGTTGTATATATGCACTTTTGCAGATGATGTTGCCCTTTTGGAATCAAATGGTCTAACATGGAAAAACAGTCTGTTGATTGAATATGACATGGGTGGAGGTGTGGTTATTTTAAGGCTGTGGTTTTCTCTTTTGCTTAAGGCATCTGGTTTACTTCAAGTCAAAAACTTAGTGGAAAGTGGAGTAGCTCAAGTATCAGTGTAAAGGGGGAAAGTAATCATGGCAGTGAGATACAGGCAGATTCTCAGTTTCTTGTAGCCTAAAGAGCTGATTGTTGCAAAATCCAGTTTTTCATTGTTTTTTAAAAAAATATATAATTATGTGGCTACAGTGAGTCTAGACACCCACAAAATATGAGAAACCACCATCCTCTTGTTTCTTTCCTTTCCCCATGAATCAGAAAGCACATCTCTGAATGAGCCATTCAGGTTTGCAACTGTTGTGGTCTTTGGTTTTAGCTTCAGCTTATTTTCAGTGTCTGTCTTCATAGGTTTGCCGTCCCATTTTTGTCTAGTTCCTGCCATTGTGATTTCTTGATTGTTTCCACCTGTACCCAGTGACACAGCCTTGGGTTTCTCTCTCTTTTTTGTGCTACTTCTTCTTTTCACCTGGCTTAGTGTTCTCTCCTGGTTTGTGCATTTAGTTTTCTGTAATGTTGTGGAAATTCTGGAAGAGGTGTTGATGTAGGATGAGGATCCCGACACAGAGAGACACACTGGATACTCAGATGACTTAGGTTGAAATAAGGTTTACTGATATATCAGGAGAAGTGACACTAACAGAACAGCAGTCCACGCATGCAATGCCAGCATCAATTCTAAAGATCCCTCTCACACCTTTAGTCTCATATCCTCCTTCAGTGGGAGTCACATCCAGATTTATGGGAGAAAGGGAAACAAAGATAAGTTGGCGCTTGTGTATCATCTGGCCTTGAGAGGTGCAGGCTGTCCTCCTACAGTGAGGTTTACGTGAGGTTAAGAATCTATAGATGTTACAGAGCGCACATCTGCTATAAGCACAACATTTATCTAAGGAAGTTAATCTGGGTTCAATATCTTCTCAATGAGGAAAGTAAGTTTTCCTTCACATGTAACCCTTTTGGTGTTCTATATTGTCATGTTGCAGTTTGTTCTCCATGCTTCAGCTACCATTCTGGTCTTTTGGTTGCCTTTCTCTAGTCCCTGTGCTTTTTAGATTATCCCTTTATTACCTTTTTTTGTTGTATTGGCGAATTAATAAAGCTTCTTTTTGTTTTTGAAACCTGAAGTTTCTGTCTACATTTGAGTCTTTTCCAGACACTTCACATAACAGCAGCCTGTTGTGATGTCAGAACAGGATGAGCTCCTCCTCCTCTGGGCTCCTCTCTGCCTCTTATTCAATAGAATAGATGCAGAATGTTGCTCCTGCTGCCCTCTTCCTGAAAGAAGTTTGAGCAGCAGCAATTCAGTCGGATTTAAAGCTACAGACACTGAAACAGCCTGTTTGAAGCAGGACTAAAACCAGGTGTACTATAGACATTGTAGAATAAGTCATTTGCTCAGTATTTGGAGCTGAAACTTGACATACACATTATTGGGACATGTGAGACTTACATTAACTTGTTAACAGCTATACACAAAAATTGTCCTGGACAGAGTGAGGAGCCAAACGATCCAGGAAGACCTTTGGGTTAAGACATTTGTTCTTTGAATTTAAAAGATTCAGATGGGAAAGCTGGGAAAACATCACTCAGTTGGTTTGTGAACAGCTTGGATTTAGCCTGGACCCATGGTGCCTGCACTCAAACCTCACCAAGCTCAACATATTACCTTGTCATAATGTTGCGTCTTAAACGTTGACAGTTGCTGTCTGTAGTGTGAAATGAGCTGTCATATATCTATGCACTCTCAGTAGCTAAAGTTTGTAACAAAATTGCGCAGAGGATTTTGGGTCAGAATGGCCAGAAAAAACATGTTGGGTTGCATTCTGCAGAATCAGTCTGGATGTAGTAGAATGTCCTGGTATTTTGTCAATCTACATGTGACATACTATGTATTGGGATGTCTAAAATCTGTTTCTTGTATACTGTATAGTATGGTAGTATGGGTATTAGAGGTCACTCTATGATTCTGGATGGATGAGGAAATCTACTTAACTACCCCTTTGGTTGAGCTGTGAATGAACCATTGTTGTGTATGCAAACAAGATAACTTATCTGATAGAAATGACACATTTACGGGAAGCTTTCAGTTCACTGAGGAGGAATTTTAGCCCATTTCTGAAGACGATTTATATTTTTCAAAACTGGTCCCAATTCTTTAAATTGGTTGTGCTTGCGTAGGCTCTCTGCTTTGATAAAGACGTGTGCATGCATAGTTTAATGCTGCAATGGTGATGAAACACTATATGTTTGGTTACTAAATCAACAAGACAGCATTTAACTGCACCGATCACAAGCTTGTCCACACCTCATCAATGATGGATGTTGCATCAGCAAAGTGTGATTAATGAGAACACACAAATTAATTTCAAGGGGAGCACTTGTCAAGAGTCCATACTGATGAAACGCTGGATCTCAAATGCATGAATGATGGTCTTCCTGATGATAATGATCACTGTGATGAATCATGTGGAAGCATCAAAGAAGCAGAGCGACTTTTTGGCTCCTCATGAAAACAAGACAAACTTTGATTTTCAGTGTGAGTGTTCTGTCTGTCTACAGTCCAGCATATTCGTCATGTCAATAAACTTCCTTTTATGCCAATTTCAGATCTGGTTCTACACAAATGACATATTTAAGAATGCAGGAATCCCAGAACCTCATATTCAGTACACAACAGTAGGAACTGGTGCCATCGAGGTCATCTCAGGGATGCTAGGGGTGAGTAGACATTATCACACTTTTAACAATGTAAGATGATGTTATTGTGACACTATTTTGTTTCTTTTCTTTCTTTTTAAATGGCACAACTGAAACAACAGGTGAATTGATGAACTAAGAGATTCAGTCATCAGTCAAATGTGCCAAACTAACTAATGTGAATAAAGAAGTATTACAGGTGACAGAATATGATGCTATTCTCTGTTTAGTATTGGAAAACAAATATATTTTGAGCTTTTTCACCAGTTGTAAGGCAACATTAACTACACTGGTGACTTGATTCAAAAAGCACAAGTTTTACTAATTTTATAGGCTGAATTGGTAGCTGCTGAGATGTTAAAAAAAAACAGCAGATCAATCCATTTTAATTCATTCTAATAACAACGTGGATTGATCATATCTTTTCTTAGCTGTTGTCTTTCTCTGCTCAAAATCAATATGTTGATCTTTTTACCCAAAGAACTGAAAACAGATCATGACAGAGATTATTTTAACCTGAAGCTGAAACTGTTTTCGAATATGGATCAGCCATCCAGTCATGATCAGATACTTTAGATTTTTATGTTTTTTTATTGTACCATTTTGGGTTTATTCCCATTCTGTAAATTCTTTTTTGGCTGTCTATTAGCAAAGAGGCTCATCGAAAAAAGGACATTGCAGGTTTGGTTATTAATACTGTGGTACTGTATGTGACACTGTGTTTTCTTTTAAACATGAAGTCAATAAATTGTTTAGTGGCATTTTGTTGTGCTTTTAAAAAAAAAATCTACTTTTTATCAACCAAACACATTAATAGTTGATGTGATGTAATATGTCAAGATTTAGCCCCAAAATACTAATTACAGTGGATTTAAATGTTACATAAATATGCAACATACTCCATCTATATTGTCTCTGCTGCACAAGTAAACATGAAACAGGCAGAAGATACTTTTTTCTTTTTAAAGATATCATCTTTTTCTGGTTATTTATTTATAAGTGCTACATATTGTAAATATACAACTGCCACTACCTCTGTCCAATATCCACTCTGTGCAATATACACTGTGTTCATGCTTATTATTTAATTTCATATATATATCTTTTATATTGTATCTAGTTGTTTACAAAGTTTTATTATTTAGTTTTTGCACTGAAAGGCCTGCACCTTACTTTTCGTTGTACTCGTTGCAATGACAATAAAACAAATCTGAATCTGAATCTGAATTTGATGGTATCTAATATTCTCAATCATTCACATCTCGTCCCGCTTCTGTGTCCATCATTTAGTGTTTCACGATCGAGCGTCTGGGCAGAAGACCTCTGATGATCGGTGGCTTCCTCTTCATGGGACTCTGCTGTGCTGGAATCACTGTGTCCGTCCTCTTCCAGGTATGGGTCACTTAACGTCCTGCTGGTGTAGGAATATTTTACATTAATTTGCAGATTAAGGTGGGAGCAAAGGGTGCATTGCTTGAAACAGGGCTGAGGACATTGACTCATTTACATAAACTAATATTTGTATGTAATTTATGATTTAAACCCACCCATAAGTGAACTTTTTTTGCATGAATCTATAAGAACAACATTGTAAGTGTAAAATGATAGACATTAGCTGGATGATTGGCAAAAAAAAAATACATATGTCATCTTCAATAAGTTTAGAAATCCATCATTTGCCCCTATTACTGTCATGTTTGTAATTGTAAATAACCGTACAAGCAAGAAAGCAATTATGTATAACCATGAAGTAAATGTCAGGAGCCCCATGTGACACTAATCACATTTCTAATGTTACATATAATCACAGTGATTGAGTATAGTTAAATGAATAATTAATAACAAAGTGTTTACTGTATGTTTACCCAATCGCAGGCGCAGCTGTCCTTCATGCGCTACATCAGTGTGGGCTGTGTTGTCGGAATTATTGCCGGCTTCTGCATAGGTCCAGGTAAAAACTTCCCTCTGCATCCTCCAAGAAAATTCTCAAACACTTAAACCGAGCTCATGCATAACAGTCCTGTGTATAAGGTAACACTGCTCCCTGCTGGAAACTCGCACAATAACAGTCACCGGAGCTCAAAAACCAGCCTCCCCTCCCTCCACACTCCTCCTCTGACTGTGTATTTCATTAGTGTTGTAAATTAGAAAATCCTAACTGCCACACTACATCCATTCCCGCAACCATTTGTACACTGGATGAGATGAGCGAAGTGAATTACAAGGCGATAGTTTACAACGTTGAGGGAGCCACGTCGAGCGGACCTGCGAGGATGATGACTCGGGACGAGTCTGGTTTACATAATGTCATTCGTCAAACCGACAAAATCTATACCTCAGCATACGGATGAAGATTTCTGTTTGCTGCAATAATTAGACTTTTAATGGCTCATTGTTCATAAGCTAGCTGTGATGAATACGGTTTCCTTCAGACGAAACCTTGCTTGCACAATGACGCCCTCCCTTATACATACCGCAGATGCTGACAGATTATGGCCTAGTTTGACAATATTAAACCTTTTCTCTCCGCCATTATCCTGCACAGATAATGAGAACATCATTTGAAAAAGCTGATCATTAGAGCTTTTACTAATGCATATTTCTCCTTCATAGCCTTCACTTCTAACAATGAAGAATCATGTGTTTAAAGCTACGACAACATCTCGTAGATCCCGCACGTCAAACTAATGAATTGCACAAGTCTTAGTGATTCTGTTTCTTGTGGTTCCAAGTTGGAGTTTTGCCAACTTGACAAACACCTTCCTCTCTTGTCAGTCTATGATTACTGAGTAATAATGAACGCATAATTAAGTGCGCGCAGAAAAAGGAGCGCAATATAACAGCACTTGGGTTTGAGGAGTGTTTATCATTGTTATATCATCTTGTGTTTATTTTGACTGACTGCCAATGAATAGTCCTGAGTGGGAATATTGATAACGTAATTGAGAAATGAAGATGCTGGTGTTAATTTCACAACACCCAATAGATTCTTATAGCTGCACTGAGCGATTCAATGTGATTTCTTTTACGACGGGATGCATATTGGATCAAAGCAGTAGATTTGAATAACTTTGTGTCAGAATGTGACCTTTTGAAATAATAATAAGGTGTTTCTGTCTCTTCTGTACAGCTGGTGTTCCTTTCCTCATCACTGCAGAGCTGTTTAAGCAGTCGCACCGTCCGGCTGCCTACACCGTTGCCGGATGCCTCAACTGGTTGTCCAACTTCACCATCGGCTTTGTCTTTCCCTTCCTAGAGGTCAGAACAAACACATATCCCTCTTGCAATTCTGGGTATACAGATAATCTTCAAAGTCTTCACCCTGAAATTACCAAAATGCACGTAAATTGTAACAAACTGGGTCAAAACACTGTCAAAAGAGGAACTTTAGGGCCCGGATATGTTTATTTCAATATTTTGGCCTATTCGGCACTGACTATCTTGACGTTGCATCCAGACTCTGTGGCTTCCCTCACAGTGTCAGACTTGGGGCAGGTATGATATGGGCTGTGTGGTTTCGTTTGAATAGAGGTGACTCCCCAGATACCAATAAAAGTGCCAATTAAAACCCTGACCTTGCTGTCTGTCATTGTCCTCAGTGCTGTTCCGAGCAAACAGCCACAAAGTAAAGAGGATAATGAACTCGTCATTCGGAAAGTGACTGCGCCGCTCTACATTAATTCAACACAGATCCTATAAAACATGGGTTCTCTATGAGAGTACGTGTTTCTCGATCATGCTGTTTTTACTTTTACAGATATAGAACAACTTCATAGCTGTCAGAGGCCATATTTTTGTCATTCAGAGCTTATTTGGCCTCTAATCTTTGAAATAAGCTTGGCTGCATCCGCAAGGGGGAGGGGGCTGGAATCTATCCCAGCTGACTTGGACAGGTCGCCAGTCTATAGCAAGGCTACACTTAGAGACAGACAACCAAGCACACTCACATTCACACCTACGGACAATTTAGAATCACCAATCAACCTAAACATGTTTTTGGACCTTGTGGGAGGAAGCCAGAGAACCTGGAGAGAACCCACGCTGCACGGGAGAACATGCAAACTCCACGCAGAAAGATCTCGGGTGTCCTCACCCGGGATGCAAACCGGCAACCTTCTTGCTGTGAGGCAACGATGCTAATCACCGAGCCTCTTTGCAACCCACAATAAATCATAATAATAAAAAAAAGTAAAAACGAGACTTATATTTCTTAAAATATTTGTTTTCAAAAAGTGAAAGAAAAAAAACTGCATTGGCATGCACAGCATTTAACAAGTGTTTATGGGTGTTACCGGTTCTGGAAGAATACTAAAGACTCTGTATAATATTTATATTTTGCAACTTACATTTCAAATCTGTTTTCATTTTCGCCTCTTATCTGCTTTCATTAAACACAGCCTGCAGTTCAACCCAGTTCAGCAGCTAAAAAAGTCATGTGACTGATTGTCACAGTTGAGTCACTAATTGCTTCATGTGTTTTGCTGAGAAGCACAGAATTTTTCTATTTTTACAGAATCTGGTTGGTGCCAGCAACATATTTTGTGGCAATTGTCTTTAATGATACATAGAATTTAAAAATATTTGATGAAATATTATGGTTTTAAGCTCAGATTTGAATACGGTTTTGTGACAGAACTTTAGGGCTCCACACACAATGAGTTCAAGGGTATTGGAAAGTTAAAAATCCAATGACTCTTTCTGTTTTTACAGTTTCTGTCTCAGATAAATAGTATCATTTTGGTTCGGTGATTTTATTTTATTTTTTCAAACTTACCACTGGGTTTGGGGGTTTAGACGACTTAAGTTGCACAAGTTGACATTATTCATATTGACAATAGTCAGTTCAGTATTTTTAATATGAAACACATCATTTGTAATAACAACATTAATGCTGAATATCACTTTAATCCGCAGTTTTCTTCTTCTTTGCAGGTTTTAGCACCTTTTAGCTCATTGCTAAACTGTTTTGCTTCACTCTCTCTGCTCTTCCAGTGTCTTTCCTGCACAAAAATTAACAAAAACATTACTGAAAACCCACTGACAGACACAGTTAGTGAATAGTGGAAGATTTACCAGCTAAAGAGGCAGATATTTCCCTCAAGAGTTTGTCTGGGCCATAACAGACTCGAACAAAGAGTGGATATTTATCTTAGATTCCCAGGGTTGTCAGGAGCATTACTCTAAATGAATGCTAATGTTGTTCTGTGCCTGGTTGATGTGTCAATAAGCAACTGTTTGCAAAAAGCAGACAACTTTCTAAAGTGGTGGCATACCACTGGAAAAAAATGAATTATAGTTGCCTTAACATTTTAAAACGTCTGACCTTTAAGCTAAGCTGTCAATTAAACAATAGATTAATCCATTTACATCAGCCTACTTTTCATATTCTCAGATTGTAATATGCATTCAGTTCATGTTAATCTACTTTAATGAGCTTTTATCAGCTTCACTGCTTGTCTCTATGATGCTTTTGTATGACAACATAGCTTCAGCATTCCAAGGGCAGTTTCTACATCGAAATAAAGCAAGTCTTTGTTTTCTTTAATCATGTATTTTTATTATTTGTGTTCTTCCACCACAGATAGCCACAGGTCCTTACTGTTACCTGATCTTCTGTGCGATCTGCTTGGGAGTGGCCCTCTACACCATCTTCATCATCCCGGAGACCAAGAACAAAACCTTCATGGAGATCAGCCAGATGTTCGCCGCCAAGAACAACATCCCGGAAGAAGAGCTGACGTCCAGTGCTCATCTGAAAATGGCTATGATGAACGGCTACGGAGCCCTCGGCCAGCATGACGAAAGATAAGAGCGTTAATGATGTATAAAGGGAGGGGGAAAGTTGCCACCAGAGATCTGCTGCTTCACGTCCAATGCACACACAATGCACACAGCCATACACTCAAAATGAAATATCTCTTTTCACACACAAATTAACAGGCCATTTTTAGTCTCCTGCACATTATGCGAGACAGAATTCACACAGTCATGCGTTTCAAATCAGCCATCAGTCACATTTAAATCCATGTCTCAGAGTCGGAAAGGGTTTTTATGGGAGCCAAGTTGGCTTCTCACAGAAGTTTCTACGCTCTTAATTCTTTTGAACACATCTCATGATCATTTAATTGTCCACATTCAGTGTTGTCCTCTTGTTGCTCACTACAGAATGAATGTTTATTTAATTGACATAGCAACAACCCACCTGATGCAGTGCTTCCTTTGGCTTACCAGCGGAAGCTATGGAAGCCAAAAGTCACAAGACATCATGCAAATAAACCAATATTTACTATTAATGTACAGTTCAAGATGAATTCATCGACAACATACTTGTTTTATGTTGTCTTTCTTGTTGTCTTCACCGATTTTTGTGTCTCTTTTTATGCAAGAGAGCTGGATATTGTGGCTACTGTAGTAGTCATTTCATGTGTCTTATCCAAACATATGCACATGTATACAAATATTTATCACAAGTTTGTTCATTTATTATTTTTAAACTACTGTAGACGACTTTGACTAATATATGGTGGAGATATTAATATAAATGAAGATGCTCCAAAATAAAGGTGTTTTAATGTGATTTATTTTGTCTGTGGTCTATTATTATTATTGCTGTTTTGAGCTGAAAACTGTTTTTCTGATTAAGTCTTATAATCACAAGCAAACGTGCAAAATAGAAGCAAAGAACAATCTGGTTTGTATACAGGATGTTGTATTTTAGGTTTACCCTGCTATACCATCAAATGCAAAGCAGCACTTCTGAGTTATTGCGATACTTTAGCTTCTTTCGGGGCCTTTGTTTACTTCGCATTTGTATTTAGCAGTGATGATGCTGTAACAGAAAGCTGTCCCCATACGTGGAAAATTAAAGAGAAATATCATTATGTGGCATTAGTGCCTCTCACCAAAACTAGCATAAACAGAACAAAACAAACACTAGCAATTACAACACAAACACATCTGGAAAATAATATCCAATAAAACGTGGATTTTAGAGCTTCAACCAAAATGATTCCCAACACTGACATAATGGGAAAGAGAAAAAAAAGTAAAAAAAAAAAAAAAAAGCTAAGAGTCTGAAGAAGCTTTTTTACTTCAAAGGGCAACACTGGAACTGAAACTGTGGGCAAGGAAATAAAAACACTGCTATCTAATAAGGCAACACTTAGTGCATAAAGTTTTCATAGGCTATAACTAATGATTATGATTATTAATTCATTTAGTTGTAAGGGTCAGAGTTCTTTCTTGACCTTGTAACCAGCAGTTAAAGAAACAATCTCACCACAAGGTCAGTTTAGCAGCTGATCTGCAGCTTCTGATTAAATCACATGATCCTTATCAATAGATGGCTCAGTTGTAGATCTGTTTAGTAAAGACAAGAAGTCCTTAAAGTGCTCAAAAAAAAAATTAACATGTACAATTCTATCTTCTGATAAAGGTCATATGATATGGTCAATAACAGAGCAACGACTGAACAGACCTTACAGTGATTTTGCCTTACAGTATATAGTTATATATAGTATAAACTGTAAAAATGTAAAATAAAATTTAAAAAAGCAATCTTGTTGAATTTGTTTTAGATTGTCTGTATTTTTGAATTTATTTGTAAATAGCAATAAAATTTGAAAAAAGCAATGCAAATTTACCTGTTCAATGTAAAATGATGTAACCTGTAACTGTCAATAACCATAAAATTTGCATTTTAAAATTAATTTTGTACATTTTTTTCACAAACAAAGACAAAATTTAAAGTTTAATACTGTAAATATATTTTCTATAAATAAAATTAGTGATGATAAAACAGAAAAGAGAAGTACTGGTTGTGTTATTTTACAGTTGAGAAATATCTTGTATAATTACAGACATTTTGACATCAAAAATGTTGAATGAATATATATTGTTTGTCCATGTAATATATGTGTGTGTGTGTGTGTGTGTGTGTGTGTGTGTGTGTGTGTGTGTGTGTGTGTGTGTGTGTTAAATACCCTTTTTTTTTTTTAAACCTAAAAGCACATCATCTCATATGTAATTAAGGCTTTAAAAAAATGAATTATAATCATTAACAAAATTACAGTATTTTCATTACGTGGTTATTTTCCATTATTTTCGAGTATTCTTTTGGCGTCCCACCTACTGGAGTATTATTATTTTGTTGCTGTTGTTGTTGTCGTTGTTGTTTTACTGTGCAACCTCAGCACTGTGTAGGAACAACTTTTGGGTTGCCAGGTTGTGGCAAATCCATTTGGCTGGTGTTTCTCTATTTTTTGATAATAATGTGATTATAAACAATAAAAGTTATGAATTAGTGCTAATGACTGTCTAACACGTCTTCAAATCTGCAGTTAAAAAATGGATTTTGGTCTAAACTGTTGAACAGTTGAACAGGTTTTTCTAATGAACCCAAGAGCTCAAAACACTAAATAAGTGTTATAGTTAAGGAAGTTTAGTTTCCATAAACACATAAACTCTTTATAAAAGTTATGCTATTGAGCTGTGATATTATAAATCACCTCAGTGCTTGTTGTTCTCTCTTCCCTGAGAGGTCGAGGCAGACGGCTGCCCTCCCTGAGCCTGGGTCTGCTGGATGTTTGAACCTGTTGAAAGAGAGTTTTTTCTTCTCACTGTCGCCAAAGTGTTGCTCAAAAGGACTTGTTTGAATTTGTCGTCTTTCTCTGTAAAATACAATATTGTACTATTTTGTGAACTATGCTGTGAATTTAAACAAAACTGAGTTGAGCTGAACTGGAATAACATTCTGTGTCTGGATGAGTCGGTTAACACAACATGCTCTGTGAAGTGTTTCTAAAAGGTGGTCTGGCCATCTCCTGATATTCCTGTCATTGCTCTCAAACTGTGTGGCGTGATCACAGTGTGAAGTAGCTTTAGTAAAATGTGGCTCAGACATGGCGCTCGGTGTGTTAAAGTGCCATCACCGTGACTGCAGCTCTCAGTGAGGGCTGCAAATTCACCGTACCATGTGACATGCTATGGCAAATCTGGGAGTCATACGGTATGTTGAGAGATGGAAAGTGCTGCTTCTCCCTCTCTCTGTCTCATCTCTTTCCACTGCCTTTAGGCTGGTTGATCCATCTGTCAGCCCCTGCAGAATGGCCCTGCAACCCCCGACTGAGGCAGAATGGATAAATGTTGTCACAATCCTGCCTGTCCTGATATCACAGAGGAGAGAAAAGGGGCTCGACCAGGAACACTAGTGTGTTGTTTCTGGATTGTTTTGGAGCATGATGCAATAGTCACAGCTCTTTTCAGAGAAGGAGGGAAAAGGTGAGGCAGGCCAGTGATGGAAGGCCAACCTTTGGAGTCGTTGATTTTCTGCTGAATGACAAATGGACAGAGGAGGTTCAGTCCTGACAGAAGACTGCGAGCTGAGGCGGTGTGGCTGTTCATATCACTCTCAAACAAAGGGCTGCTTGTCACGGAGACTACAGTATATTTCTGTGGATAATGCCACAGCGATGTGCACATGTGAAAACGCGCACGCACGCACGCACACACACACACACACACACACACGCACACACAGGCTCGCTCCGCCTCGGGCTGGCAGAAGCTATAAATCAAACAAATAGCATCACAGCCTGGCGAAGGAAGCATTCCAACAGATAAAATGCTCTCCCACACAACAAAGCCACACTCACTGCGTAATTAATTGCAACAAATTACCTCTTCCTCTCCCTGTCGGCCCCCACCTAACCTCTTTTACGGCACTGACAAGCGCACTACACGCTCCTGCGCACGTGTGCATGCGGGTGCGTGTGCGTACGCAGCGCACAGCTCCAATACGCACCATGGCACGGGGCGCACACGCTCACACACGCTCGCACTCTCACATACCCGGCCTGCACCCTTCATAAGTGCTTTAATGTGGCTTATTGCAGTGTGCGGTCCCCTTAGCCGTGGAAATATTCGCTTGACGGATGTGCTTTGTCGCCGGCGCTCCCCGGCGGAGGGCGGCTGTCAGGGAGGAGATGATAACATTAACAGGGAGGCAAGGCGATGACAAATGCCTGTTATCAGCGAACGAGGCCGGTGACAAATCGAACGGCAGCGCCCAGGCAGCCCCGGCGCGGCGTAATAAAAAAGAAGATGGATGGCACACCCAGGCAGGGCCCGCGTTAATGCGATTTCCACTGCTCTCCCTGACTCCCAATTAAGGCTGGGGGGGGGAGTGGGAGAGAGAGGAGACAGAGAGTGTGAGGAAGGAGCTAGGGATGGATGGGAGGAGGGAAATGGAGATGAGAAGAGGGGGAAAAGTGAGGATGGAGAAGGAGAAATTAGGTAAATGTAAAAGCATATGAAGAGGAGAGATGTCAGTGAGGAACTGCAACTGAACACGCAGCCTTAATTGTCTGCAGACCCCATCTGCTCCCTCCCTCCTTCTTCTCCTCCTCCTCTCTCTTACTCACATTTCAATCAGGGCCATGCCTCACAGATATAGGGTTGTAATGTGTCTCTGTGGCCAGGTGGAACATCATTAGAGTTTTACTAACAGCGACAGAAATTAACCACACATACACCTCCTCCTCTTATACACCATGAAATATCAGGTTGGTTCTCGCTTCGACAGGTTAAAACTCCTTGATTAGCAGCATCAAGGGTGTCAGAAACGGATCAGTCCTACATGCTCCAGTGGTTTTCTATCGGCCCAGGATTCAAGGACTGCTCCCTAAATCAGTGCTTATAAAAACAGAGCTGACAGACAGCTCAGGGCTGATAGGCAGACAGAGCTATAGAGATGAGCTACGACTCTGTCCATGATGACTGTTCCAGCTTATCCCAGTCCAAGGACCCAGGTGTTATCTCTTTACTAAAAGGATCAGCACAGGATATTGAGAAATTGCTTCGGGATAAGGGGGCATCTGTGCCCGAATACCCAAGGGCTGCTGTTTTGTCACTCTGACAGTGTTTTATAAAAGGCTGAGGAAGCTCAGAAGGCTGCAGGAGCGAGTCCCATATATCTCCCGCTATTACACCTGGGCTAGAAGGAGAGGGTTGAAATGACAATGAAATATAGCCCCGGCTCAAAGGGAGAAAAAGAACAGGGTCTAAAGAGGGACAGCTGAGTCTCCCCGGGAGTCTGCAGGGGCTGTGCTCCAAATCAGAGACAGATGCACAGCAGTCCCAGATACCAACCCGCTGCTACACTGCAAGCACACAGAGGTGAAAAGGAGAAGATATGTGATTCAGAGAGGGAAGTCCTCAGAGGGAACAACCTCTCGGTGCCTTTGCTGATATTAGTCTGAAAGAACAAGGAGAAATTAGAGCCCTGCAGGAGGAAGGGGGAGGGAGAGGCGTGTGCCGGGGGGGGGGGGGTGTAAAAGTCCAAACCCGGCAACGACCCCTGCATCATTAAGTTGTCAAGTGGACGGGAGGCCTCGAAATATGACTTGGAGTTATTGCTGGGGCCGGGGCTGATGATATAAGAATTACAGTACATGGATCATAGCCAGATCGATAGGTAGACAAAGTCATTATAGAGGGGCTAGAGTTCAATGCTTCCCTGGGGCTGCAGGCGGGGACAGAGGACTCATATTTATCACCATGGCAATGTGTAACACACAC